TGAACGAAAAAATAACGTTAAGAAACATAAATCAAACTAAAGGGAAGGCCAATAGATTAAAAGAAATATGAATTGAATTAACCCAAGCATCATTCAAGTTTCAAGCAAACTTCTTTCCCATTTAAACAAACCAGTGTTTTCCACATCTAGATGAGATACAACTTCTGAATCTAAAGATTTCTTTCCGAGGACATTTGAAATTACCACCAGAAGAGTTTGACAAGCATGGATTTCATCCATCTTCTCTGTGATGGTACGTTCAGACGAAAGATCCTTCCATAGCTAGTAAAATGACCTGTACCAATGAAGGAAAAAAAAAACGGTTTCAGTTTGACAGTGTCTAGGACAGTTAGCTCGACAAGGCAGCAGAAGTAGCTACAAGGCAAGGAGTTCAGACTCCAAATTTTTGAAGTCCAAATCCAGCCGAATCTCTCATATAAACCTCAGCAGCTATAACTGCTTCTTTTCTTCCGCTTTTTTCCACTCTTTTTATGAGCATCTGCAAGTGTCTGTTATTGGTGTTAAATTAATTGTATAGAATTCTAGATAAAATCACTGAACAAAAAAAAATCATATCTGAATTGAGCCAAATACCAGCCAAACCTAATAAATTTCTTCCCGAATCTACTCGGCCCTTCCAAGTTAAAAATTCCCTTTCAAAAGCTCCTCAAAGGTCTCCTCAGGCTAGACTGAATAAATGACTAGCCACAATCATCAAATCGGCCTAGCAGACTTAAGTCCATCTCTAGAACGAGAAAAATAAATCACAAAAAGATGCTTGCCTTTCATAAACCTTAAAATACAACAAAGGGCAGCTCAACAACTAAGACTCCCACTACAGTGGGGTCCACGTCTCCATGACTCAAATTAATGATGCTTAGATCACAATAGATAGAACAATCTTGTTGTTGCATCCAGACCCCCCATCCTAGAAATCAAATTGTCTTTGCTCAAGTGAACAGTAACCTTGGAGTTTTGATAATTTTATATTTTCATCCACCATAAGCACCGTACAAATTGTTCTCTAAAATTTTGCTCCTAACATGGATTTTATTCTGTAAGTAAAACATCATACCCGTGAGGTGATAGGTGATAGGTAATAGCGGTCATTATGATTTAATTATTGAGAAAATTATCTCATTGTAGCATATCAAGAATTCAAGGCAATTTTTGTTCATTAATAACCATTTAATTTTTAATGAGCACATGTTTTTTTCCTTGTATATGTACTTTGTTATCTAACATAATTTGTAGTTTTCATTGACCTAACAATTGAATCACTTGACACAACGATTGAACAAGTGACCTCAGTGACCCAGCACCTGAGCTTACTCTCTAGGCCGGGTTTATCTCTTCCTATTTCCCATTGACCAACCAACAAAAACGACAATCTCTATTACTGGGGAAATCATGTTTAGGCCAATGAGCAAAAAGGTTAGAGATGGGTGTATCAGAAGTTCAAAACAAACTCCAAACAGATATTGGGTCAACTGCTATGGAAATTATCCTTCATTCAGTACAGTAATGATCAAACATATCTGCATGTTCGATGGTAGAGATATTTATGCACATACTTTTTTGGATTGACTTGATAGTAGAATTCAAAGAACAAATAAAATGTGGAGAAGGGCAAACATATTACCATCTCCAAGAAGGATTAGCTTCAGCAGGAAAACGAATCCTCAACCACAGCGACGTCAAATGACTCCCATGGCCAAGCCGGATGTCTGCTTTTGCACAACATAAAGATAAATAACAAAGCTTCAACAAAGGAGACAGCAAATTCCTTTGTTGTTGTCAGACAATGAATTGCTCAAGACCCCAAGAAGATGAAAAGTCAAAGAATGAGAGAAATGCCTAAAGGTTTTGACATTGATTGCTTGCAATTCACAAGAAGTTGAAAAGTCAAAAAAATCCAACAGGGAAAGACCGGCCTTCGAATCATATTTTTTAATATATATTTACTATATAATCTCTAGAAAGAGAGTACGTAATACCTACATGCTTCAAGAAATAAAGCTCCATAGACAAAAGTGACACTCGTGATTCTCAAATTAATTTGGTGGTGGAGGGGCCAGGTGGCAAGTGAGAGAAAAAAGGCAAGGAGGGAGGGAGGGAGGGAGGGAGAGAGAGGAGCTACCTAGTCGGTGGGATAGCAGTGGTGGGTGGTGTGGCGTTAGTGTTGGTGGTGGTGGTTAGTGTTGTAGAGACAATGATGAGAGGAGAGAAGACAGAAGGTTGTGCGAGTGATTCATGCGTGTGAGAGAGAGGATTTGTGAAATTTGAAAATTTTGGGGAGATAGCTTTGACAAAAAGTGAAATAGAGAGCCTAAGAGAGGTCCTTGGGTGGTGGGGGGAAAAAGGAGGGGAGTTGTGAGCAGAGATAGGGAGATGGGAGGTGGATAGGGGTGCGTGCGTGTGTAAACAAAAGGGCTTAGGGAGGGGGTTGGCAGAGATGGAGGGAAGGGGAGAGAAAGGGTTAATAAGGGGTTCGCAGGTAAGGGGGATTACCTGAGATGGTGGCTTTGCGCTAGCAATGGTGCTGGTATGCAGTCACGGTGACGCTATGGCGAAGGAAGTGGTTGTGGCAGTGGGATGAAGGAGATAGACTGAGGGAGATAAAGAGAAAAGTGGTTGTGAAAACCGACAAGGGAGAGAATTAGGAGGAAGGAAGGAGCGAGAGAGATCGCTTGAAAGGTTTTTCTTTTTAGGTCTTCATCAACGACTTGGGGATGGGACAAAAATAGGGGGAAAGTTTTTATAGTGAGTGATTTTATACCTTTGAATTGACAGTGGGTTAAGCTGTGAGAATGAATTAGAAACAATATATAAGTGATTCACCTTAACTGAGAGACTAAGACTATGTTCACTATAATGGAGTCTCTTGCTCCTTGAGGGTGTGTATATTTCATGAAGAAGAAAATTACAATGGATTGTTGGGCTTAAAGCCTGTTTATACAATGTTCTATGAATTCAAGTATATCAATAAAGAAGTTGTCGGTGTTCTTTTGTAGTGTGATAGTGTTCTATTTATACGGGTAATCTTTTTAGGGTTTCTTGCATCTTCCTCTTCCTTTTTGTTGATTCTGTGGTCCCCTGTTCCTTTGTCCTTTAGTGACCTCCGTCATGCGATGCCACTGTATCCACGATCCTTGAGTGATTATGTGCACAAATATTCCCTTTACCAGAGAGTACACATTCGTTAAAGGCTCTAGAAGTTGTCCCCCTAGACACGTGGCATGATGTGGGACATTCGGGATTTGGTGAGTACCGAGCTCCTTGATCCCGAGCTGCTTAATGCTGAGCTTGTTATGACCAAGTAGGGTTGTGCCGAGCTGGACTCTCTGATAAGCTCCCTCCTTTGGATTCTGACTCATTCCTTATTATAGAGCAAATAGGTTGTTGATGGGTCTCTTGGGCCGTTGTGCACCCTTTTTGGCCCATTAGATGATTTGGGTTTAGGATGGGCAGACCACTCCAAAATTCTATCGTTATCAGTTGCCCCCTAGCCCTAGGTCATAAGGATGACGTCAAGCTCTGGACTGGGGTTAAATAAGTCTTTTCTAGGGTCATAATTGGTTCCATGGATGGTGGTTTTACCTGATCATCAGCGCTGCATTAGGACGTATTTGGTTAATCCGTGCCGGCTTTGATGGGACAAACGTGCTCGAGTGGGGGCACATGTCACCTGTAGGACGACCTTCATAAAGTGATTTTCTGCACGTTCCTCTCCACGTCCCATCATGAAAATAAATGTTGTGTATAACTAATCATATTTTTCCTTACATCTGCTAACTAGAGCTCTAACCTTTAATTGTTATTCTAACACTTGGTTTTGTCTACAGAGTTTTGTCTGACTCTAGACGCCGAGGAAGCTGCCAGAGTAGGCAAGGTAGAAACTTCTAGCTTGAAGTCTTTTCTGGACCTTGTAACCGAGGAGAATCTTGCCAAGCATAAGCTTGGGCCCCCAGTTGATGCGCCTCCCACTCTTATTTTTGATCCCGTGCCTTCTAACCAACCTGAACAGATGGATCCTGACCTTATTATTGTGATTTTTTCTGATGCCGAGAAGACAAGGAAGAAAAGGAGAGATGGTGAAGAGCTTCTAGCTGTCCCCAAAGGAAGAGCAGATGTTCACTTCCTTGGAGCAAAAAAGCGAGGATTTGGCTTCCCTTAAGGCTATTGTCTCCTCTTCTATGCCCCACGAGCCCACAAAGAAGGCGATCTCTCCAAAGCGGCCTCCTCCATCAGTAGCACCTTCTGCTTTTCCTTAACTGTCTCTGCCAAAGGAAGTGAGGAGCGAAAACGTCCTTCCTCAGCCAACTGTTCAGGGAAGTGGGTTCCTTTGTGACCGTAAGGCCGCTGTAAATGCTTTGGCTAAGCTGGTCCCCCACGTCGGATCTCAATCTGGCCATGCGGGTCCTCTTTGAGAGGAACGCGAAACATGTCATCCAAGGCCTAGTCGAGGTACCTTATGATTTCTTCTTTTATATGAATGCTCCTTCTGACGTATTTTCATCTCTTGCTTGTATTGACTCCTATCTCTGTTTCCAATCATTGGCTTGTGTGAAAATGATGGAATTTCACCATGTTCAGCTTGCGACTCAGCTGACCGCCAAGGAGCAAGAGCTGGTTAAGGCGAGGAACATTGCTGAGACTGCGGAGGCGGGAAAAAGTCATGCTGAAGGAAGGGTGGCTGTCCTGGTTGCCGAGGTAGCCGAGCTAAAGAGGATCTACGACAAGTTAAACACTCGTTACCAAGAATCTGCAGGCTGAAGGATGTCCAGTTGAAGATCAGGGACGAGGAGCTAGTAAAGAAGAATGCCGAGCTTGTGGCGTCAAACGCCAAAGTGGCGTCCCTAACGGCTAAGGTTATTAAACTCCTAAAGGAAAATGTTATTGCCTTTGTGAAGGGGTTCATGAACTCCCAAGAGCAAGTGAAGGGTGTATATCCCGATCTTAACCTGGATTCCTTCATTCCTCAGCTTGGGCCAAAGAAAATGGCAAAAGTGACTATTGGGGCTGCTACTGAGGTAGTTAGTGCTGGTGAGGGAACCTTGACTGGACCTGCAGAGAGGGGCAAGGAGGTGGGCACTGAGGCAGCCAGTGCCAAGGTAATTGAAACCGAGGTACAAGGAACGAAATGTCGTGTCGAAACATCCGAAACGTTTCAGAATTTCAACACACTGACACGAAACAGGGGATGAATACTAAAATTCCAATGTTTCGTTCGAATCGGCAGTGTGTCGAACCATTTCGGTCGAAACAGTACAGATTCGATGTGGTTCACTCCAGGTAAAAAAAACGAAAGAAAAAAACAGAGATGCTAGAAAGCAGATTCCTTTCACATGTCGGTCAGAATTCACAGAGAAAAAACACAGAAATCACATGAGGCACAGAAAGCAGATTCCTTCCACAAGTCAATCAAATTTCACAGAGGAAAAATCGGGAATAAAACACAGAAATCACATAGTCCAGGTATTCCAAGCAAAAAAAAAAAATAGACAGAAGAGAGACTGTCCAAGACTCCAGGTTCAAGCAAAAAAAAAAACAAACAAAAGAGGGAGGGAAAGGCACCACAGGAACTCGAAGAGACAGAGAAATTGAAGGAGAAGACTAGAAGAACTAACCTTAAGTCCAGATTTGAGCAGATTCAGCCATTTTCGGGTTTTTCACGCAGATCTAGGGCTCAAATTTTCCACGCAAAGCCTTCTTCATCGCTGCGACCACGAGCCCGAGGTATCTTCTTCTTCTTCTTCTTCTTCCTCTCTCTCTCTCTCTCTCTCCCACTCCGGCTTCGGCATCGGCATCGCGATCGCGATCGCCTCTCTGTGTTTTCTCTGAAGTCTTCTGTTGAATAATTATATTTAATACCCCTTATAATTATATTTAATACATACTGTAATTATATTCAATACCCAACAGTAATTACATTTAATAATTAATACTCACTGTAATTACATTTGATATATACTATAATTACATTTACCACCCCACTGTAATTACATTTAATAGTTAATACCCATTGTAATTATAATTGATACCCACTGCAATTACACTTGATACCCACTACAATTACACTTGATACTTCACTACAATTACATTTAATAGTTAATACCCACTGTAATTACATTTAATATCCCACTGCAATTACATTTACCACCCAACTGTAATTATATTTAATACCCCACTGCATACATAAGTACCATTAATTTAATTTGATACCCTTCATTATTTTTTTTTATTTTTGTAATTATTCTAAAATATTATTATATTTTAATTAAAAGTGTTATACATGTCATATTTAATTTGTAGAATTAATTTAATATATTTAATAACGTAATGATATTTATTGTAGATATGACATCAAAAGGAAAAAATGTGGCTACTGAATCATCGCAGAAAAAGAAAAAAGAACGTTATATTAGATGGAATTATGGCGAACGAATTAGGGATAATCGACAACATGTAATGTGTAATTTTTGTCATAAAAAAATGATGTGTGGCAGTGTGTCACGGTTAAAGCAACACTTGGCAGGCGGTTATAATAATGTGGAACAATGTGATAAGTGTCCTATTTAAATTGCGAGAGCTATGAGGGATTACTTGAATTGCAACAAGACTGAAAATGCAGAAGTGAATGGTGAACGGAGAAAAATAAGACAGAATTTAATTGGTGGATCGAGGAGGAGGAGTGGTATCGAAATTTATTCTTCCAATGAGAATTCAGATGATGATATGGATATAGAATATAGAGATGATATTGAGTATGCAAAACAACAATCTATTTGTGATATACATATGACCGAGCAAGGCTTTAGAGGAGGAAGTTCTAGACCATCTATCCAAAAAAGTGATATATCTAGGAATTTAATTCGCTCACATAGTGTGAAGGAATCTTGGAATAAATTCTCAAGAAAATCACAAAAGTGGATGGGCAGAGAAAAGGATCTCACGATAGAAGAGATGGATCCTTCGATGTATCGGAATAGGGAAGTGAAGCAAGCCAAGCTAACTCATATGTGGAATCCCAAAAAATAGGCAAAGTCGGCAAAACATGCTATTGCAAAGTATTTCATTTATGAGAATATTCCACCAAGCAAAGCTCAAGGTCATTTTTACCAATTGATAATTGATGAAATTGCTTTAGCTGAAGTGGGTGTGAAAGGCCCAACCCCATATGAGATTGGCGGACCATTGTTAGATAATGAGATAGATGAGCTGAAAGAGTACATCGACTAGTTCAAAAAGAAGTGGGAGATTTATGGAGTGACAATCATGTGTGATGGATGGACATCCACCACAAGATTATCTATCATTAACTTCTTGATATATTATGATGGAAAAGTTATTTTTCACAAGTCAATTGATAGTTCTGGTCATGACAAAGATGTTAATTATATTTTGGGGTTGATGGATGTTGTTGTTGAAGAGATTGGAAAGAAATATGTGGTTCAGATTATTACAGACAATGGCAGTGCGTACAAAAAAACTGGTGAAATGTTGATGGAAAGAAGAACACACCTATATTGGACTCCTTGTGCTGCCCACTCTCTAGATTTGATTTTGCATGATTTTTCCAAGTTTGAAACGGTTCAAAATGTACTAAAACAAGCTAAAAGAGTGACCAATTTTATTTATAATCAAAATAGAGTCTTAGATATAATGAAAACATTTTGTTCAGGGGAATTGATTCGGCCAGGGCAAACAAGATTTGTCACTAATTATATTGCCTTACAAAGTATGTTGGAGCAGAGAAATAGTTTGCAAAGGATATTTACTTCAGAAGATTGGTCTAGGACTGCGGCAGCAAAGGATCCAGTTGGAAAGCGAGTTCAAGGGACAATTCTAAATCCTAAATTTTGGGAGACCACCAAAAATGTGTTGAATATGCATACACCCAGTGTTATGAAAAACACGCCTAGGCGCTTGCCTAGGCGAGAAGCGAGGCGAGGCGAGACTAGCTCGCCTGGAGGACCCTTGGCGAAGCGAACGTGAGCGAGGCGAGAAAAAAGCAAGAAAAAGCGAATAAGCGAAAAAGCGTTCACTTTTGTTATAAGAGGCAAAATATTTTATTTTTAATTTAGACCGTTGTATTGGGCGATTGCAAAAAAAATTTTAAGATGTTGATGTACTGAATTATTCCCTTATCCTAAAAATAAAACTCCTAACCTAATTTTGTCTCATTTTTTCTCAGATAGCTTCGATCGGTGCTACCTCTCCACTGCTACACAATCGATCGGTGCTGCTCTCCACTGTTACACGATCGGTGCTGTTCTCCACTGCTACACTCCAAAGCTTCGAGTTTTTCGCTGCTTCTACACTATCGTTGCTGCTGGCCAGAGATATCGTTGGGTTTGGAGGGCTGGTCTGGACTGTGGAGGTTAGTCTCTTCTTCTTCTCTCTTCTATTTTTTTTTCTTCTGTCTTCTACTCCTTTACCGATTCTACTTATTCTCCTTTTTTTTTTTTCTTGATCTGATTCTACCCTATCCTGCTCTGATTCTACCCTATTCTGCTTTGATTGTGCTTCTTCTTTTTTTTTTTTTTTGTCATTATGCTTCTGTTTTTTTTTTTTTTTTGCTTTTTCCTTATGTTGCTGTCCAAACTCCAGTCCATATGAAAATCCCATAAAAATGTAAGGAGTTAAAACCATATGTAAGCCTAGACAAAAAAAAAATTGTGAATGAAACTCCAGTCCGAAATACAATTTAATTAAGCTTTGATGGCATCTCACTCTCACATGATATGATCATTATAGATGATTAGGCCCGTGTTTCGAATAATAGAACAATGTTATTTGAATCTAAATTTCTAATATAATTTGTTGGTATAATGGTGTGCCTTTACTTTACATAATTTGATAGCATTAATAAAGCTTTACTTATCAATTTATTACTATTTTTTTTTCTCATTAGTCCCTTTACATCATTGGATTAGTGAACTCACTATAATGCTTCGTAGGTATTCTATAGAAAATACAAGAAAAATTGGGCAGAGGATTATTGAATTCGTGGAGCCATTGATTTTGGTATCATATATGCTTTCCGTGAACAAGGAGGAATTCACCAAACCCATGCACTTCAAAAAAAAAAAAAATTTTAAATCAATCACTTTCAAACTTATTTCTTAAATTTAGTCATTTTTAAAAGACGTTTAAATATAACACTTTTCACGCACTAAATATAAATATTGAACTAAATTTGATGTGTGGTGCGTTAAAGGCATTATGCCAAATCATGTCTTTAAAAACATTATTTCAAATAATCTTTTAATTCATGAAGACGTTATTTAAAATAATGTCTTTTTAAAAGTGATTGAATTTGAGAAATAAATTTAAAAATAACTTATTTTGAAAAAAAAATTAGGGTGGGGCATGCCTTTGGTGAATAATCATGTGTAAACTTAGTTTCATTTGGTAATAATATGGTCGGAGACTGCATAAGAATTATACAAACAAATGAAAATGCAAGACTTAATGCATTCAGTACAAGTTGAATTGTTTACATGTGAAATATAAAATTGTTTACAACGTAATGCTTCTGGTTTTTTTTTTTTTTGCTCATTTTGCTTCTGTTTTTTTTTTTTTTTTGTGTTGTTGTCCTGATTCTGCTTCTGTCAAGTCAATATGAAATTGCTCCTGTGCTGCTTCTATTTTTTTTTTCTCAGTCGTCTATTTTTTTTTTTTTTGTTGTTGCATTCTACTGCTGTCCTGATTCTGTTTCTTTTGTTGTCCTATCCTGTCAATATAAAATTGTTTACAACTGATATGAAATGTGATTCAGTACATGTGAATGTGTTTTGTTCCTTTGATTGTAGTGTGATAGTGTTATTCATAAATGGCATCGTCGTCCGAAGGGAACAAAAAAGATCCGGCATGCAAATATGCACACTTGGTAAATCCTCAAAACACAAACAAGTTCAAATGCAATTTTTGTGGAAAAGAGTCAAATGGAGGTGTCTATCGAGTCAAGCAACACCTAGCAGGGAACTCTACGAGTGTTATTACTTGTCCAAAATGCCCTGCTCATGTTAGGGAGGAGATTAGAGAATACATGGCTAAAAAAAGGAAGAGAAGAATCTAATAAACATGGTTCCCGACTTTGATGAGATGCCTAATGACTTGGAGGAGGATGAAGATGATATTGTAGAAATTGTTGCGAACCGTAAAAGATCCATGACTAGTTCTAGTCAAGGTTTTACACAAACCACATCGAGACCAAAAAAGCTAAGACAAAAAGGGCCTATGGATGTATACTTCACCCCTGATCCGAATGTTGTGGTGCAAAATCAAAAGACCAATGGGAGACAAACGAATATTGATGACAGCGATCCTTTTAGAAAGGAAATGAGAGAAAGAGTCATCACAACATTTGTCCGATGGATGTATGACACGGGAATTCCCTTTAATGTTGTGAACTATGAAAGTTTTGCAGCAATAGTTGAAGCTTTTGGACAATATGGTCCTGGTTTGAAACCCCCTTCTTACCATGAGGTTCAGGTCCCATTGCTCAACAAAGAAGTAGGGCATATAAAGTCATTGATGAAAGATCACCAAGAGGATTGGGCAAAATATGGATGTTCCATAATGGCCGATGGATGGACTGACAAGAGAGGGAGAACCTTGATTAATTTCTTAGTGAATTGTCCAAAAGGGACCATGTTCTTTGAATCTGTTGATGTTTCTGCATACTCAAAGGATGGGCAAAAAATGTTTGAATTGCTTGATAATTTTGTAGAGCGTATTGGTGAAGCTAATGTGATTCAAATTGTCACTAACAGTGCGACAGCAAATGTTTTAGCAGGTATGAGCTTCTTGAAAAAAAAAAAGATAACTACTTGTTATATTGAATTTTTTTATGCACACTAGTTGATAAAAAAATCTTTATTTAATAGGTAAGTTTTTGAAGGCAAAACGACCCAATCTATATTGGACGCCATGTGCTGCCTACTGCTTGGACTTGGTATTGGAAGATATCTTCAAGTTGCCAAACTTCAAGAGAACATTTGAAAGAGGAATAGCATTACACGGTTATATTTATAACCGTCCAACTCTGTTGAATATGATGAGACGATTTACCCAGTCAAGGGAGTTGATTAAGTTCGCAAAAACTAGATTTGCTACGGCTTTTCTTACGCTAACAAGGATCAACCAACAAAAAGGTAACTTGAGAAAAATGTTCACTTCAGAGGAATGGACTACAAGCAAATGGGCAAAAGAATAACAAGGCAAAAGGACAGCACAAATCATTTTAATGCCTTCATTTTGGAGTAATGTTGTCTACTCTCTTAAGCTTACTGGCCCTCTTGTTCGTGTGCTTCGATTGGTTGATGGTGAGAAAAAGCCTCCCATGGGGTACATTTATGAAGCTATGGACCGGGCTAAAGAAGCGATTGCTAATTCTTTTAATGGCAATGAAGAGAAGTACAAACACATCTTTGAAATCATTGACCGAAGGTGGGAAGTTCAATTGCATCGGCCTTTGCATGCAGCTGGGTATTTTTTGAACCCAGAGTTTTTCTATTCCAATCCAGAGGTTGAGAAAGATCAAGAAGTCATGAATGGCCTATATAAATGTTTGGAAAAGTTGGTCTCAAATCCTGTGATACAAGATAAAATTGGTCAAGAGTTGAGTATTTACATGAAAAGTGAAAACCTCTTTAAGTTGCCCATGGCGGTTAGACAAAGAACAACTAGGGCACCAGGTAATCTATGTTATCCCACAAGCTTATTTCATTATCATTGCTTAAATATGTTAGTTAATTAATTGTTATTCATTATTCACAGCTGATTGGTGGAGTGCATATGGGTCTGCAACTCCAAATTTGCAAACCTTTGCAAAAAAAGTTTTAAGCCTTACTTGTAGTGCATCCGGTTGTGAGCGAAATTGGAGTGTGTTTGAGCATGTAAGTATCATCCTCAAACTTCTTCAATTACATTTTTTTTAATCTTATTATAAATTTTAATATATTGTTAATAAATTATTGCAGATACACACCAAAAAAAGAAATAGACTAGCTCAATCTCGTCTCAATGATTTGGTGTTTGTTAAGTATAATAGAGCTTTGAGACGCCGATATGATTCTCGTGACACAATTGATCCAATATCTTTGAAGGATATTGATGATAGCAATGAGTGGTTGATTGGGAGAATGGATGCAGACACAGATGAAAATAATGAGCTTGTGTTTGGTGATGATACTTTGACTTGGGGCGAAGTTGCTCGAGCTTCTGGAGTTACGAAAAGTAGCCAACGGACTAGATCAATACCATCTACTAAGGTAACACCAAGGTTTACAAGATCGACGACTGGACTCACAGATGAGGAAGACATAATTTCAGATGAGGCAGAGGAGGAGGATACTGAGGGATATGAATCTAAGGATAATGAAGATGGTTTCTTTAGTGATGAGGATTGATTTCTAAGTCCTTGAGATATTTTCTTTAGTTGCTTGAATTATGTGTCTTATGTTTTTAAATATTAGGATTTGGGATATTATTAGTGTTTGTATGAATTTAAATGTTTAAGTTATGACTGTTATTAAGATTTGTAATATTATTAGTGTTTGTTTTAATTTAAATGTTTATGATTTTACTTGCATTTAAATATTTAGTATATATAAAATTAAAACTTTGATGTGTATAAGTAATTACACTAAAATATTTATTTATTTGTTTAACTGCTCGCTTCGCTTTGGTAAATCGTTTCGCTTCGCTTCTCGCTTCTCGCCTAGGCGTTAAGAGCCTTGGTCGCTTCGGTTCGCTTAACGCCTTAAATAACACTACATACACCTATTGCAAAAGTTCTAAGAATGGTGGATGAGGAAAGAAAAACAATAATGTCATATGTATATGAAACAATGAAACAATGAAACGAGCAAGACAAGCTGTCAAAGATGCGACTCCTAAATCGTGCAAAAAATATCTTGACATCATTGATGCTCGATGGAAAAAATAAATCATTCAACATATCCATATGGCAGGTAAACTTATTGTTTATCAATTTATATTTTTATTATTGATAAGTGTTATCATTTTGAATGTTATCATTTATAAGTGTTATCATTTTTTATATTGTGTAGCTTATTACTTGAACCTCACATACCATTATGAAAAAGATGTTGGTGTATTAGAAAATTTCTTGGGTTCGCTTCGGATCGTTGTTTCTAGACTAGAAATAAATCCAAACAAGGCTGCTGAAGCACTTGTTGAGGTAATACTTTAGTATTTCAATCTCAATTTACAAATATGTTGAATTAATATATAACATCAATATACCCATGATATTTAGGTAAAAATATTTCGGGAGGCTATGTATTGTTTTGCTGACCAAACTGCAATTAGAGGAAAAAAAAAAGTGATCCAGGTAATTAAGTAGATTATTTACACTTTTATATTTTGTTCTCATGATTTTCTATTTATATTTTTCTTTAAGGTTTTAATATGTTTCTTATTATTATGCAGCTGAATGGTGGTTTATGTATGGCACTGATGCTCCAAATTTGAGAAAGATTGTTATGAGAATATTGTCGCAAACAGCTTCATCTAGTGGTTGTGAGAGAAACTGGAGCACATTTGCTCTCATTCACACTAAAGTGCGGAATAGACTCAATTATCAAAAGTTAGAAAGGCTGGTGTTTGTACAATATAACATGAGGTTTAAGTTAAAGTACCTTATGAAGGACAAAAAAGGGTATGAATTCAGACCTATGGACTTAACCACTGTTTTTGACGAAGATGAAGGTATTTCAGAGTGGTTAGATGATCCTGGTGATGCACTTTTAGATGAACTTGATGATGATGGGCAATCAACAAGACCAAACACTTTCCTAGCGACGTGGGCAAATCATTTTTCCGATGACGATGGAGGAGTAGGCCTAAGTCAAGGTGTTGTGCCACCACGAAAATCAAGATCCAAAATAAGTAGAGGATGATCAAGTAAAGCAATGGATGATGAAGAGTTTGACAGACTAATGAGAGGTCCACCAAGACGTAAGCAACCTATCACTGTCATTAGTAGTACTGAGGATGATCATAATAGTGATGGTAGCAATGATGGCGGTGAAGATGATGATGAAGATAATGGTGGTGGTGGTGGTGGTAGTGGAGATGGTGACAGTGGAGGTGGTGATAGCCATGGACATAGAGTCGACGTGAGCGTACTCAAAATCCGATCACTCCACATGGTATGGGTGCTATTAGGCATGGAACTAATATGATTAATGATGGTTTTTCTACCATGAGTATAAGTGAAAGTGGAAGTGAACACCATAATTATGGTTCGTCGTCTTCATATGGTTATGGTTCTGGATATGGTATTCCCTCATATGATTATGGATCGAAGTATGACACACGAGAATACGAATATGGATCCTCAACATATGGTTATAGATCTGGCTATGACTCCCAGACATCCTCCTCATATAGACAAGATAAAGATTGGTCAGGGACTGATGCATTCGTTCTCCAACAGATTAGATGTAGTGTTGCAGACTATTAGAGGTTTGGGAGAGAATATAATTTATATTATCGTAATAATATGAGTTGGAGTAACTATTATCATCATATTTATGTCATATATAGAGTTTCTCTAAGTAGCTACCCAAAGCCTACACCAATGTATGAGCCTGCTCGACACTCCACAGGGGGATGGATGTAGTCATGTAAGTATGTACTCATTAGCATTTCATGTGTATTATGAGACCTTAATATTATATAAAAATGTGTTTATTTGATAAAAATTAAGTGTTTAAAACTAATTTAAGTGATTTTCGCCTCATGTCAAGTCTTTTTTTTTCTCCAATTTAAATTTATTCTTGTATAAATGGATGTTAAGTCAATAAATATGTTGAATTAATCAATTATTTAGCTTATCTTTATAGATATAGATTAATGGATTATATTTGTGTTTCCACGCGTTTCCATATTTTTTCCGCGTTTCCATTGCATTTCGAAACGTTTTTGTTTTTTAGATGACCAAAACGGTACTTCAAAACGAAATTTCGATCCTTGCCGAGGTGTCTGGGACCAAGGAGGTTGGTGCAAGCAGAGAGCCCGTCGCTGAGGCACCTAACGAGAGCAGAGAGCCTGGTGTGTGATTTTTCTTCTAATTGTTGATAGCTTTCCTCTGTTGTAATCAGAACTTCTGTACTTGTCATTCCTTTTTAATATACTTTCTCGATTTTTGATGAAGCTTCAGTGTTTTTTTTTTTTTTGCCTTCCTACTCTTTCTTTCTTACATGTGTATTTTGTTACTTTTTTCTTATTTCTTTTAAAAGTAATGGTCAACAAAGCCTATCTCATGCTGCGTTGCGACTTGGGTGTCTTGAGTTGAGCTGCCCCTTTGCCGAGGTGGTTTCAGTTGTTTGGGGTTATCTTGCTTGTTGAGTCTATTTTGGACATTTCCTAGTTCTTGCGTGTACTGCAAATTTGACGGTTTCGTTCAGTTGGGAACGTGCACCGTTAGTGATGATAGTGGCTCTTAGAAAGTAGCACCCAATTCCTCCACGACGGCCACATGTCAATGGCATTAAATGCGATTTACACACATTAAAGGCACCCTGCGGACGTTATGTTCACCGACTAGCAGTCCTTATAAATAGTCCCCTCAGTGAGTGGTTTTTCCACCTTGAAGTTTCTTTCTTTTTCTTGCTCCTGCTTTCTACTTCAAAGCTTCTTTCCTGCAACTTGTTTCTTCCTCTATCTTCATAGCGTGTACACCCACTGCTTACCTTGACACCCAGCAAATGGCCTACGCTGATGCCAAAAATAGTGAAATCAGTAGTGAAGAGGTTCAAGTGTGCTAATCATATGCTTTAGCGACATAAACCGGAGTTCTTGAGTTAAGGTTTTTAGTGAACCCTCGGAACTCAGTCCTTGTCGAAGTCCATTCGAAAAGCGGAGAAAAGTAAGAAAACTTAAGTATTCAGGAAGTGACAGAAGCCCGTCTCTTTTGTACCAGGAAATCGAGGAAGGAACTAGTCTTAAGTCTCGGAATTGAACTGTGAACTTCTTTTCTGAATTGCTATTTAAACTATCTACTTATAGATTCTCAAGGAAACTAACGCATCTTTTGAAATTTGAAAGAAAACAATCTTCTGATAATATGGATTGAGGAGAGATTCTTGACTCATTAGGATACGGGCGAAAAAAGTTCATAGGTATTAAGCCGGAGAATAATGAGATGGCAAGAGCCAAATCTCCTTTTTTAGTGGTGGGAAGGTGCTCAGCTATTCGACTCAGAAGGAAGAGAGTAGCAGCTTTCTTTTCTGCTTCAAAGCTCTTTTCCTACAACTTGTTTCTTTCTCTATCTTCATGGCGCGTACACCTACTACTTACCTTGACACCAGCAAATGATCTACCCCACGCCGAAAGTAGTGAAATCAGTAGTGAGGAGGTTCAGGTGTGCTAATCGCTATGCCTTTCCCAACAGGGTAAACATTTGTGTTGTAGAACGCAGCTTGTATCATCTTTCCATGAGAGGTTGGGTCTGCTTTTTGAAGTCCCTTTTTAGCTGGGGCTACGGTTCCCTATTCCTCCATTTTCAAGGGAAGTGTTGCAGTTCTTCGACTTTTGCCCTACCATGTTACTTCCAGCTGGGTGGGCTATTTTGTTGGCATTCCTTGTGTTGTGGGAGCGAATGTTTACTCATCCCCGAGCCACTCTTGTGGAGTTTCTCAACTTCTTTCGTCCAATGGAGCTCTTTGAATTTTATTATTTTGCTCCGAGACGAGGTGGAGAGATCTCGATTACTGACCTCCCTCCTGAGCCGAAAGGGTGGAGGAGGAGGTACTTTTTCATATCTGGGACAGGTTGGGAGTTTGAGCTCAGACGATGTCGCTGGTCAGAATTCCCACAGTTTGGGGGAGACATGGTCACCTTGGTGAGTTTCCCCTTTATTAATCTAGTCTTACCATGCTTGTCGGTGTCTAACTTGGTGTATGGCTCTATTCTTTTGTATTGTAGGTGAGTACCCGATCTTGACTGGCGAGACCCAAGCTCAGGTTAACCACATTCGAGCTCGTTTACCCTTTTCTTATACTGAGCTAATGCATCCCAAACTTGCTTCAGTCCTGATCAATCGTGAGAATTTGCTATTCTTTCCTTCCATTCGATTTTTAATGTGTTCAACCGAGCTTACTTCCTAACTGCCTTTCTTGTTCAGTCCCTACGTACCTGACCAGCCAAAGGGATGTGATCATGGAACAAGTGGGCCAGAGGAAGCGAGCTCGGGGCCCAAGATCTTAGGTGAAGAGGGCTAGACTAGCAAAGGGCAGCTCAATCCCAGCCTCGAGTTCATGTGCCAAGTCCGAGGTTCCAAATATTGTCACCGAGGCATCAATGGCCTTACCAACACCGAGCTTCCTTTCTACGCCTGAAGTAGTACCAAGTGTTGTTGAAGTGTCGGTTTTTCAACTTGTGTTTTGAGCCAATATAGCGCTGGAGAAGCAACGGTAGGCACAATTGCATGCAATCTAGTAGGAAGGCCAATTCAGTGTGGTTCTTCCTCAGCTAGAGTTGCGGGTCCCAGCTCTAGTCATGTTGCTTCGGGTCCAATTGTCAACTTTGAGGGGAGCCTATTGGACGACGTGACTTTCAACAATTGTGCACTAATAGAATTGATTCCCCGAGTAGGCCTTTGTCGTTCGGTCAGTGTACCTTTCTGAGCTAGGAGCCGAGATGCCCTTCACGCACTTCTAGAGGTAAGGTTTGTCCTTTCCTTTGATTTTTCCTTGTTTCAACTTTTGTAATGTTTAAATTTCCTTCTTTGGCCTCAGGTGGTGACGCACGTCTATGCCCTTAAAAGGGAGGTCCATCATCTAAGGGAGGAAGCTCATCGGAGGAGTGCTGAACTCCAAGAGGCCTGAGAACTGAATGTCGAGCTCCTAAGCTGGGGTTTAGCTGCAGAATTCGAGATGAAAGCTACTCTTGATCAAAGAACTCGAGTTTTTTGGCAGTTGATCACCACTGCCACTTTCGAGACGAGTTGGAACAGCTAAGCTCCCAGTCAGAAGAATTGGCTTCTTTGTAGCAAGATTTTGACGTCCAAGCAGACGAGCTGATCTCCTTTAAAACCGACAAGGCAATGCTAACAACGTAGCTGAGAGAATCTCACGCTGTAACTGCCAACCTAAATAACTCCCTAGAACGAATATATGAAGTGACAGTGGATTATAAATGGTTCACCTTAGCTGAGAGACTAAGACTACGTCCACTGTAATAGAGTCTCTTGCTCCTAGGGGATGTGTACATTTCTTGAAGAAGAAAATTACAATGGATTGTTGGGCTTAAAGCCTATTTATACAATGTTCTATGAATTCATTGTAAGTATATCAATGAAGACGTTGTCAGTGTCCTTTTGTAGTGTGATAGTGTTCTATTTATACAGGTAATTTTTGTAGGGCTTCTTGCAACTTTCTCTTCTTTTTTGCTGATTCTGTGGTCCCCTCTTCCTTTGTCCTTTAGTGACCTCTGTCATGTGACGTTACTGTATCCATGATCCTTGAGCGATTACGTGCACAACTATTCTCTTTATTGAGAGTACATGTTTGTTAGAGGCTCCAAAAGTTGTCCCTGGTCCCCCGGGCACATGGCATGATGTGGGACATTTGGGGTTGGTGAGTACCGAGCTCCTTGATCCCCGGCTACTTAACGTTGAGCTTGTTATAACCAAGTAGGGTTGTGCTGAGATGGACTCTCTGTTGGGCCCCTCATTTGGATTATGGCTCATTCCTTATTACATAGCATATGGGTTGTTGAGGGGTCTCTAGGGTGGTTGTGCACCCTTTTTGGCCCATTAAATGATTTGGGTTTAGGATAGGCAGCCCACTCCAAAATCCTATCGTTATCAAAGCTATGTTTTTTAAAGGGATGATGCATAGGGGCGATCCCTAATATTACTGTATAGGCTTTTATACTTAGAAAATATTAAAGCAAGAGTGGGGTGCATCTTAAGATTATTGTGACTCTAAGATTTTCTATGCCTAAGAATCTTAGGAAAGGAGGCGATCTTTAGCATTAAAAAAAATAATTCTACTTGAATATAATTTTTTGATTTTATCATTTTTATATCGTTGAATTGATAGTGAACCCCAATATTAATTGGGACCTACTATTAATTCAATAACTAGAATGTATTAGATTTTTTGATCAGGTAGAATGTATTAGATCAATAAACAAAATTAAGGATTAATAGTATTTTTAGTCCTTAAATTATGTATTTTTTGTCAGTTTAGTCATTAATGTATTAATTTTGTCAATTTAGTCCCCAAAGTATTCATTTGTGTCATTTTGGTCCCTACATAAACGGACAGTTTTAAGTTTTTTTACGGAAGTGGGCACGTGTCATTTTTTTATACGACATCACATGCCTAACACATGATCATTCTGTCAAAAACTTAATAATCCGTCTATGTGGGGACCAAAATAATACGAATTAAATACTTTAGAGACCAAATTGATCTATTGAGGACTAAACTCACAAAAATATATATTTTAAGGACTAAAGTGTTATTAACCTTAAATTAATAAATTAGGTTCAAATAATTTTTTTATAAAAGAAACATATTGAGTGATTCATCTACATAAATACATCATCATGCTTTAATTTCTACCCAACAACGATCAAAGGAATGCAAATAGAATAGATTTTCACATCGATCAACATGACAATGCAAATAAACGACACGGGAAGCAGCTCCTCTGTTGTTAGTTGTTACAGAAAAACAAAATCATGTTAAACAAAACGTCATCATTTTATTAGTTTGGCATTGTAAAAATTCCTTTTCAAAAAAAAGCTCATTGGCTTCTCAGCACCTCAATTTTTTCTCATCTTCATTGACAACTTCCTCAAACACCCGAGCTAGGTTCATTAGTTTTTCTGAGGAGTGTCAACTTCCCCAGAGGAGGACGATTGATCAGACGAGAGTAGATGTGGCAGTGGCTAGGGCAGGGGGAGTAATCTCCACCCCATACTGCTTATTATAAAAAGTACATTCATCCTCAGTCCATTGCTGCTAACAAGGCTAGTTTTCATATCCATCCTTGCCCCTCGCCTCGCCACCCACGTTCACCCCCACCACCTGCCCCCACCCACGCCCAAGCAAGCTCAACATAATCCAACGTAATTATATAATATCATAATATAATTAAAAACTTGTCTACAACAATATCCAACATAATTGGTTTCATTTAAAAAAAATTACATCTAACTTCACACTAATAATTTAATCAAAAAAAATAAAACATTAAAAAATATAATAATTGCATAAAAAATATTTAATAACAAACTGCACCTAATCAAACAACAATGGAAAAAATCATAATTATAACAAAACTAAGAATACCCACAAAATCCCAAAAACCCAGACTTCAGATTGCTAAAAAATCCAAAGCAGAATTCACCATACCTAAAATGTTCAAATGGTACAAAAGCAAACCAGTATTTCTATAGCAAGCAGCCAAATTAAATGCAAATGATAGCATTACTTGGTCGGCAAGCAAATTAAAGTAGGAGAAGAAGAGAGAAAGAGTAGACGTTACCTGGTCAGCTACGTCTTTTTGACGAAGAGTAGACGGAGT